AAGGGACAGCTATAACTACACAAAGACGTGGCAAGGGAACGATTCGAAACTCATCATTGTTCAAGAATATCGAGAAGACTTCTGAAGTTGCAACTGGCGATGACTTTGACAATTCAATTAGAGACTATATGCCCACAGATCAAGGCGATCGACACGCTGACAAGAACGCTCCTGGCGACTCCATTGGTCCGCTTGAAGCAACCCCTCAAGCTCCAGAGAGACAGTTGTCGGCCCGGCCCGATCAACAAGAAACACGAGACCACCCCAGTTAAAGGAGTACGCTGTAAACTTTCGCTGAGCTTTTTTTTTTTTTTTAAAAGCAGGAAAGAAAATGTGGTGTCAAAAAACCTGATGGCGCCACATCCCCACTGTCTGGTATGCGTTAGAAGAGTCCCAAAGGCGAGGGGGTGACGGAGCGGGATAATGTATGGTGGTGCGTCGGAGGACAGACGCGAGAGGCTTACGATGTGAAATAAAGTAATGAGTTTTGGTTCGTTACCTGGTCGCTTCCCTCGGCAACAAATAAACGACACTACACCATCTACACTTCGTTTCAGCTTAAGCGTGAGCTCAGGCAAAAGCTAGAGATGGTACACACTTTCCAAACGGTCTTTCCTACGCAGCAGAAATTAGTTAAAGAAAATAGAGTTCCAAAAGTATATTTTTTAAATAAACGATCCGCAATATTTTATTCCTGTCATGGTGAGCATTAAGTATGACTAAACAAAAAAAATTATATTCGTTCAAATTTATTTTTCATACCTGCAATACTTGTTTGTTTGATCGTTTTCTGAAGAAACGTATCCCTGCCGGCAACATTGGAGCTTTTGAATCTTCGGCGCGCGTCCGTGCTTACTCGACCGAGTTTGTGCCATCATGTTTTTTGAATGATTTCTTCTCGACAACGGCCGACTCATCTGCTCTGAAGCTTTCTTCAAACCGCGTCAAGACGGTCTTCGCCAGAGGCTCGTTTTGGAGTCAGGCGCACAAGTTGTGCTGAATGTGTGCTGTACACTTCGCCAGGATTTGCCAAGTGCATCGTATCGCGAGATTGTTCAGCGAAAATCTGAACTGACAGGTATGAGAAAATGTTCGATGTTCAAATGGAAACTGGTTGCCTTGTCGATGCCATCAAGAACTGATGGTATCTTCTCCGAGCCGTTGACGAAGCGGTCAAGGAATATAGCATCTCGGGCAGTTCCGGAAGCTCTCGACTCCTTTTATCTTAAAGCAGTGGGAAGAATTGTGTACGACTACTTTAGAAAGTCCTGCTTTAATGACCGTAAGGGTCGTTTGCCATCATATATCTACGAAGTTTTCTATTTGTCTTTCAAGTTCGTTGACTGTGCGCTCAACGTATTATTCATTGGAAGGCCAAAACGCATCTGGTTTGCAATATACGGTTTAGCTATGTAGGTAAGAATAGTATTATGTATACACTGGACTCAAAGAAAGGTTCAATGGAGCAAAGAAATAATTGCAGCGCAACTAAATTTGATGTGGACACTCATTATATTGCGCGAGCGATTCACTCTTTTATATGCGGTGGATGTGAGACTTAATATCATAATGGTAAAAATTGCTTCCATGCATTGTGTTTTCCGCCGACTCTATTTATCACTCAGTCAATGTCCATGCCACTCCGACTAGCAACTCAATTTAAAAGACAATGCAAGACTGGAAAAAGACTTATGGAGATTATTGGGACCACACAGTGCTCAGGGCCGAGCTGTTGAGCCTAGTGAACATTGCGGAAGCGGAACGACCTGACCTAGAAAAGTGCCGGGTGGGCGCTGAAGCACAGCAACATGGCGATGTAGTTACTCGTCTAGTTGAATATCACTGTGAGTTAAATCATATTGAGCTCATGTGGACCCAGGAAGAGGGTTATATTGCAAGTCAAAGCACGTGTTTCAAGCTTGCAGATGTGGTAGCCCTGACCCCAGCAGCCCTCCAGCAAGTGACTGCTGAGAACTGGTCAAGCCCCGCACGTCACGTCATCTTAGTGGAAAAGAGAATATAGACAAAATAAAAGCTCATGGACCTTGCCTACGACCGCTTCATCATGGCAACCGATGGTAGCCCTGCCGACGATGACTCTGACTACGAAAACAACGAGAACATGGGTCTTCAGGAACTCGACTTGTGACCCAGCCGGGGACTAGCCGACAGGTGATGAGGCTAGAGACAAGGAGACAAGAGGTATTTGTTGGTACAACAAGCAAAAAGGAATTTCCTGCGCAACTTCAACCCAGCAAAAAAATTCGGCAGCTGGCTAGATTATAAGACAAAGACTGGCTAACAGACAGACACTGGATGATCGCGGCAGTCTTCACAACGGGCAAGAGACCTTCGTTGATGAACCGTGCTAAGAGAGGAATCTTAAGTGTGGCTTGGGTCTAGACAAAAAAGAGAAGGCTGGCTGGAATGAAAGACAGGGACTGGCTCACCTCGCAGTCTACACGACAGGCAAGAGATGCTCGTTGGTGAAACGTGTGAAGCGAGGATGCCTCACTGCACTCTCGGTTTTATTTCTTGCTTCACATCGCAAGTCATAGCTTTGGTTCGTCTTCCGAAGTGATGTAACACTCTGCTGTCCATTGGACACAATAAAAATTCTTTTTCACATGTTTGGGGGGTAACCAATAACTTCTATTATGTGCTAAATCTAACAGAAAACGCTGAAGTGGTCCAGTCGCATCGTATATTTTAGGTATGTTTTTTATGCACCATGAAATGTTAGAAAGTGCAGAGAGTAATCCGCAGAGTTTTCCTACCATGAAAGTTCATGAACCCTGCAAACGTGTGCCACAAAGACCACATCCTGAAGCAGTGGTTTGGAGTCATCCAGGTTATAGTGTTCAGTATCTTATGATAGAGACTGGGACAACGAGAAAACAAAGACAAAATAATAATACTGCTTCCAATCTTTGAATATATGTGAAATGGTGTCCAAGGCTATTTAAGCGCAATCATAGATCTGCTGAGCGATTGTGTTAAGTTTTCGTACAAAGTTTTAACATAGCTCTGTATGATTTTGTTTCAGTACCATAATTATTGTGTGCATCTTCAAATCGGATCTAGCAAACGGTTGCCAGTCTAGCCGTCACCTTGGTCATATAAGTCAGCGAGCAATAATTTAATAACTTGCAAACATATTGAAAATCTGATCAAAATACAAAAATCATTTAACCCATTACGTGCCATGCCTACAAACCATTCTGCCGCATACACGTTGCATGGTGATCTGCAAATTCGATGTAACCAAGACGTATCGCGTGAGGTCTGCATAAACGGCAAAATATCTATAGTGCTTAACTTTATCAATTTTAGAATCAAAATGCGCGTACCTGTAAACAAGATGTGAAGTTTCCCTCCATTCTTTCCTCGTTTCGTTTGCATGAAACATGATGCGTATTCTCCGAAACAACCTCGATGGCTTTATTGATGTCATTTTCTTCGAGCGTTTGGCTCGCAAAACTTCATAACGAAAACTGGTTTGTTAAGATGGGCGAATTGATTAAGTGCACTCTGCACATATTCCCCAGCAACTAGCATACTCAACACCCTACTCTGGATTTCAGGGTGCCTCAGTAACTCTCACAAGAAAAAGTATTTTAATGATAGCTACGTAGACAACGAAGGTTATAAAGTAAATGAAAAGTAAGAGTGTGGAGCTGATTCAAACGTGGATTTGGAAACAGAGCGCTCAGTTCATACCAGCATGTAGCAAAAATATGTGATATTACGAAACGTGATTTGAATCAGGATATGTTGATGTAATATTAGTAAATATACTCAACATCGACGCTCTTGATAAAATTTCAGGACGCGAAATGTCAGTTGTTGAGATGTAGCAGACAATACTGTCGATTTTTCATAGCAGACAAAAGCACCTCTCTCTGCCTTTCCGCTCGAGCACCGCGATTAGTGACGTACAGAGTGGAGGCGGTGTCATGTCAGCTAACGCCGGCGTTCGGTTGGTCCGCCTTGCATGTAACATCGGCTGCGTTCCGGCTTAAGCTGGAACAAAGTATAGGCAAGTAAATTTAATTTACTATTTTATTTAAGAGTTTCCATAAAGGTAGTGGGGCAAACTTAAAAATGTGAACCAAGCTCCCCTTCCACTGTAACAGAAATGATCGGTGCCAGTAATTCTGTTATACTAGTTATGAATTGATTTCACTTCCTGTTCGGTTATTATTGTCTCCTGTCGCCGCTTTATCCTTGGGTAGCTGATATTGCAGGTTTGGGCCATTCTAGAAGAATGGCGCATAGGCTAAGATACGCGGGTCTTTTTTCAAAAGCCATTTTTGCCGCCCAGCAACGCTCCTCGCAAACCGGTACAAAGTCCGAAACTCCGCATACGATACTAGCGGCTCACATGTGCAGAGGCGACGTGATTTTCGCAGACAGAAAATATATAGCCAGGAAGTAACCTACAAAAAATGCCTCCTCTGGTGATCTCAGTGGTTATCATAAGTAAAACACGTCGCAGTATTTTATTGTCAGACTCAGACTGTGGATAGAGTGGTTTGCGCGTGACGTCATCATATGGCCAAACTCGCAATATGTAATTGGCTATTTTTACTTGTTCACGCCAAGGAAAACAACTTTGACGATTCAAAATAAATATTTAAGAAGTACGTTATAAGTTGTAATGATATCGCATGTTTCCCTCACAATGTCAGCGGATGTTACGTTAGAGCAAGCCATCTGCTAAGATATCTGCTTCATAAAAAGACGTCGTCATGCAAACTTCGAAACTCTACGCAGTCCCGTTTCCTTACTTACACAAACAAATAATATATCATTCTATCGAAAAACGTAAATGCGATCGGCCAATCAGCACTCCTTCTGTCGTCCGTTACAACACCAGGAGTTGCGGCGCTCATTGGCCGATCGCTTATACGTCATTCGATGGAACTGATGTTAAGATCCCCGCCGTAAAGGGTCATCAAGTGTATGAAAGTTTTAATTTCGTTAATCGCACTTTCAAGCGAGAAGAAGAAGAGACATTCGAGGTCACCAATAAAGTATATAGTACCACCTTCATGGATGGTCCATTCACCCTCGCTTTGTTTCAAGAGTGGGTTGAAAAAAGCGGAAAATTCAACGAAAGCGATATCGTAATCCTGCTCACGAGGTAAGCCTCACTCGGTGCGCCACTTTTGACTTTTAAGGCTCGCCGTGAGCTTAACTCTTTAAAAACCCTTTCTGCAGTTGCCTTCTTTATGACTACTTTTGGTCCTCCAAACAAGGTCGTATAGACGGCGGTGAGTATTCAGTGTTTTGTGCCAATTGTACATCTGATCGCCAACCACAAAAAAAAAAAAAATATGTCAAAGACTGCATCATATTTCACCGCTTAATATGTTCAAATACATTATGGATGAAATACATTCTCTTAGCTAGATCCGGTTCGCAGAAGTCAAATTTAACTTTCGTCAAAAAACAATAGCTCAGCGAATGAAGCAGCCTAACATTCTCATATCTTCTTGCTCTATTATTTATTGTTCTAGTAACAAACGTTACGGATATGCACCGACTACGTCAAATTCAGCCGCGATTATCGATTAAGTTTGGTCTTGTAATGCACAGAATCTCAGTAACTGAAGCTGATAACTTAAAAAGAGATTTCTAATTTTTTGTTTGATGTTTTGACATTGTTCCGACTTGTGCTTTGAGTGCTGTTAAAAAAATTGCGTGGTAAAACTCACTTCCTTCTTTAATGCCTTCAAGCCTTGAGAGAAAATAAATAAAAGGAAATGAAATGAAATACCAGTTCTTACAAAAATCCATGGCGGCCCGAAGGTCACAGCACACATGAATCTTGGTCAGCAAGCAGGCATTCCGGGATTGGGAAACGCTACCACGCCTTCCGTCAATATTGTACTACGTTATCACACTCCTCGCCTTACCCTCGCGCAGAAAGCGGAGCTAAGGAATGAAAATCACATGGTTGATTGGTCTGGCAAGCGAGTACCTTTTACCATTTCTCAGCTTAAAGATAGAAAGAGGAGTAGGAAAGCAGGCGCACCTTAATGGCAGAATGGGGGTGCGCTGTTGAAAGGCTCGTATTGTATGCTCTTGCATGTTCGTCCCGAAGTTGATTGTGCAATGGATGCTATCTGCCTGGCATACAAACCAGTGACCTTCAGGCAGGTGCCGTGTTCTGCCTTATAAAGAGCTTTTAGGTGTTAGTAACGAAATACTAACCGGAGACACGTGTGGACTAGAACACGCATAGCGCCAACTCTGCAGCCAATGCCGGGTGAACAGGAGTGCTGCATGAAGGCTAGTTTTTGGAGTTCCAAAGAAACTGCCCAGCCCAAAGCTTTACCGAAACCCGGATGCATTAAGATCATGTTTTATGCCATAGACTAAGATTCAGTGATTTCGATGTGTATTTTTCGCGTAAGTCAAAATGTTTTTCTTTTTGCGGCGTTTATCGGAGTTCTTTTTTGGTTGTTGCTAAAGTCCCAATTATTTAAATTATGAAGTTTCTTTTTGTTATGTTTCAACATTTTTAGGATCAAATATAAATATATATACTATCTGTCGAGAATGACCCTGCCTTAACTTTGTAAAAGCGGAAGTGAACCTCGCGACATTCGCGTACTTGCCTTTAGTATTACTAATTGTATAACAAGAAAACTTGAAAAAGTCACCTTAATAGCATAATCTCCTTCACGCAGACGTTCGAAAACTTTGCTTTTTATCCTATTCGACCATCATTCTTTGTGGCTTCGTGGAGCGGAGTAGAGAGATAGAAGCGTCCGCTACGTCTACTATTAAAATAAGAGTTCATAGCTTTCGCGGTTATCAAAACACAACCCTACCTTCCTCTAAGAAGTTCAATCTGGTAACAAAAAACGACCTTCACTTGATAAACGGTCAACCTTCTTCGGTCACTACTACGAGTTTTTGAATGATTCTGCGAAGGCCTCTCCTGATGACCGCTGAACCTGTGCTCTTACCAAGCTTATTTGCAGCAAACTTAGCTTCTGTTCATTTTTTGTTTTGTCCATCGTGACCTCCGAAATTCGAGTTTTGAGTTAAATCTGGATTGAAGAAAGGTTTACCGGCTAGTGTTTTTCGGATGCTTTGGGATTTATAGGAAGACACGGAACCCCACGTATAACCCACATCTAAATTAAAATGAAAAATTAACCGCGACACCTTCCTGCGCACGATATCCATAAATATATATGTGTATATATTAACAAACCGTTTAAAATTAGGAGTGCAGTTTGAGATTCGTGTTCTTAAACATATGCTTTGGGAAGCACTGCATCCTTGGGGAGTTCCTTATTACATCGTTTAAGAAATAATACCGTATTTGTTACATGTACACGGCCCTTGAAAAAAAATTAAAAAAACTTCCTTGTTGTTATTAGCAAGCTCGTAAATCTAAGGCGCTGCTCATTTTCGGGCATTATTTTGTTTTTCATTTGTAATTTAATTTTATACAAGTTAGCTGTCTTCATTACACAATCTCGGCATCACGTTTTTCTGAATGCGCAAACCGTTCAATGTATGCGGACGAGACCAAGGTTGTTAAGCGAGGCATAAGATGACAGTTCTAGTAATCTACGCCACCAACCATAATTGAAGATAAGTATGGTTAACAGTAAGTAAAAAAACGCTGAATGCACCAGAGAGCCCTCGTCTTTTAGGTCATATATTCAAAAAAGTTATTACTTTAAAAAGCTAGAAAACAATCTCTTTGCTTTGCCTCGATATCTATGCACTTGATGTGGCTTCGGTAAACGAGGTTTGTCAAACATATTTAAAGCTAAACAAGAGAGTTTGTTTGTATAATATACTTGAATATTTAAAGCGAACTCAAGTAGATTAGAAAACACAACTGACACGAGTGATGTGTCTGTTTGCTCAACACTCAGAGAGACGGAATTTTCCTGTCTTTTTTGTCGAACGCCACTTCGACAAAGTCTGATGTCATCGGCAGCGAAAACTTGCGTTGCGGACGTCGAGTGGAGCAACACGGGCGGTGCCAACTTCATTTCACACTCTTTTTTGTGTGGTTGTCGCAGTCAAGGTAGATGTGGGAAGCTTCGTGGGAAGCTTTGTGGGAAGCATAAGGCTTCCCACAAAAAAAAAAATCTTTCGCCTTTAACAATAAAAAAAAAAACTGAAAAAAAGAAACAATAAACTAAAAATAACCTCCAGTCGCATGTATTGGCGTGGACCAGTCTACCGCTAAACAGCACGACTTAATGAGTATTAGCGTCGAAAAAATAATTGAAAGTGTCCTCAGTGATGAAAGGCTTGGCGGCCAAGTCCTTTGTCCACGTTGGGTGATCGGAAGTAAGAAAGCGATAAAGTTTCCGTATCGCACTTACTGGCAGAGCGTTCATGTTCTTGAAATGCTGAAAAATCAAAACTCATATGCTTGACGCAACTAAAATGGCCGCGTGTACAATGCTGCCAGACTAACAAGCGGTTTCGCATATGGTCTATTAAATACAACAAATGTTTGTCAGCCCCGCACTCGGGTTGAAAAAATCACAGGACACGCACTGAGTTCCAGAGTGTGTTGGGTTTCGGCTATTGTCGTCATCACGGCGATTCAACACGAACCACTACGCGAGTGCTTGTCGAGATGAAGTTTTAGTAAGGTGTTTGATGCAAACGATTCAGCACTGAATTATTCGCAGGCGCCACTACACACGCGCGCAAATTGTTCTGGACTGCGAAAAGAGAGCCTTAGTGAGTCGCTTCAAGCTAACTGATTCCTCCACATAAAAACTTCTGAAGGCTACGGCAAAGCTCCTAATATTCACGGCCCTTCACTCGTCCATACTCGCGTTTAGCTTCACAATTGTATTATCCCGAGACTTCCCAATAACCCTCCCCTCAGTAACGTTGCAGCCACACGCGCTGAAGGTCTGCAGTTTCTTGTACTCATCACAACCTTTCCGCGATTGTTCTAATCCCTATTAAATTCACGTGTGGACCTGGTGATGACGCACTAATAGTCTGATAATTGTAGAGTTTGGGAAATTAAAACTCACTAAAAATAAACACTCCTAACTAACTCACGCACGACATCCGTCTCTGAGCATTTTCACGCATACCCTTAGCGGTTCAAGGGTAGACCGGGTTGACGGTACATCAGTTACGCACTGGTATAAGGTTATGCGAAAAAGTTCTATATTTTGATCCGACTACTGCACTTAAAGTCACTGGATCCTGGTGAATTAGCGCCCTTGTCTTTCCTGCATGCTAGCCGGTCGCAAACATATACTAACATAAAAACCACCAAACCCTCACAAGGAGATTGTCTGATCGGCCTCCGTTGCCGTGTCAATCGCCATTTTGGTTCATTCAAATCTTCGAAGTTTCGAGAGAGCCGTTTTAAACTGGTCCTGCAGAGATCCCCATAGCGCATCATCCTGCTCAATGTGTACCTCCCACATACACGCCTCTTTGGCACTCTGTATGCAATCAACTTATCAATCGTGTCCACCTTCAGGGGTCGCTTAATATTACATTGTTCTTCTCTTGTATTTATTGCAATAAAATATGTTGAATGCCTCCAAGCACTGACACCACGTATGGTGACCATACAAACATGCACGGTTCTTTCGCCGGTGTGTGGATAGTCAAATCTTAGTGTACAAGAAACTTATCTATAAATATACCCGTCACCAGCGAATTTATGTCGGCTCATCAAGAATGAAGAGGTCAGAGAGGAACTGGTCATGTTATCAACCAAAGTGGTGTCAACACTGTAGTAGTATAAGACCCCGCCCGGGCCGACTAGTCTACGGAGTTTAGCAAAACGAAGTGGTGTGACCTAAAGGTCGGTTCGCCGGGACATCGCTGGATGTGTGAGCTCCGTCTCACCGGGCAGCCGTGTGAGTTCCAGGAAACGGCCGGTCATTTCGAAGCGGAGTTCCCGCTTAAGACATCTGCTCCCGCAGAACGAAGCCAGCAGACACGTTTGTTATTTTCGTGACCTGAACGCGTCCTCGAGGGATCGGCCGAATCGCTCGCCTTTTATTTATTTCAGAACAATGTCAGCTGTCAGCCAATCTGTCATCTCGCGTGGTGTGCTGTCACGTATCTTCCTCTTTTACACATCACTACACATACTGAGAACTTGACGCTGCTTTCTCAGGATCCCGTTACTTAAGTGCCACGAAGTTCATTTAAATTTAAATATATTTAAAATAAAAGTCGGTACACCGTACATCTGAAAATAAAATTTGATCTCATTGACGGAGTTAACAACAATGTAAGACTATCA